CAACAGGCTGACTTGGACCATCTAATGGTCTGCACGAGCAGCATTTGAATGAGAGAAATGCTACCTGCCCCTCCAGGGCCCTGTCCCCTCCCCACTACCACGTGTCTTAAACCTTCAGTGGACTCAAACTACCAGGGGGCACAGGCCTGCCCTTCCTGCCAGACCTAGTTTGCAAAGAGGAGGAGTAGGCAGACACCCAAGAGGAACCTCTTAATATAGGAACAGCCCAACAGCAAGCATCGGGAGACAACCAGAGGAGATCCAGACTAAGAGATGAGATCAGATATCCATTTGATGCCTGTCCCAGACTGGGTGTTAATTACTTCTCACCATGAAACACCAGTACACAATAACTCCATAACCATAAAGACGATGAGATCAGGGTCAGGGCCAGATCAGGGGGATAGGAGCGTAAACGGCTGACTGTAACAGAGCGGGGTTTGGTAAAGATTCCTCTCAAGCTTCAACAAACTATGCACTGTAATGTTTGTTGAAGAGGAGGGCAGACTAGAATGAATGAGGGAGTAGCAGGGATCAACAGCTGGGCTGCTTACTGCTAGTCCTCAAAAGCAGATTACTGTCACTTTATCAGAAGGAGCAAATCATTTTTGGAAAACTTGAAGTTTGTGCTTGGTGAGCTTGGCGTGCAGTTAATTGTAGTGCAAAATAGCCATTAAACGTATAAAACTCATGTGTACATGCACTCAAGGACACTTTTCATATTGGAGTAAACACCCACTACAGAAGTAAGGAAATATACACAAAAAAAGATAAAGCAAATTGGATCCAAAAGATATTTGCATATGGAAGATTAGATTTATTCAAGAGAATTTTATAAATGAGGAGTTTAAAGTACACAGAGGACACAAATTAAGAGGTAAAGAAAGCCTGATTGGCAGAGATATGAAGAAAATCCAAGATAAACAATCTAGTCTCTGTCTTTCCAAATGTGTCATCTCTGCCTAAGACCATAGCTGGCTCGATGTTCAGCGTTGACCTTTTGACTTCAGGTGTTAGTGTTAATACAACTTTTGGGTGCTGCCGGAAGCATCGTGGCCATTTCTCACCTCCGACGAGGTCCGCTGAAAACAAAGCTACGCATTTCAGACCCGAGGCAACCAGATGGTGCGTCTGAACTATTGGTCAATAATCCCACTGCCAACTATCCGGCTCATGGTCAGGGTGAAAATGGAGGTGTATTGAGCAAAAAGCCTCCGGAAGTATAACTATGATGATACATCTTTTTGGTTTTCCCTATTCACTGCTTGGTTCTTTCTGTCTTAGTCAACAGTGCCACCCCAGATGTAAATGCTCTCACATTTTCACTCAAAGTGCCTTACAATGCTGAGACTGCACATTCAAAATGGGAGGCTGCTGGGACTTAAAGGGATCATATAATGCTTGTGGTGATTAATAACATACTTTTCCTGTCAGTCATTATTTATGAGCTTGATTAATTTACAGTATTCAGACACAGCACAAGAAAGGGTTTATTCCACCGACAAAAAGGACTTGTTTAATCACGGAAATACTATTGGAGAAAAACCAAGCCAATGGTTCATTGGTGTTAATGTTAATGAAAATCGGTTGACATGCTAAGAATTATTATTTTGATAGTGTACAATCAAAAGTTCTTCTGGTAAAAGTCGGAATCCAATCGTGCACCAAAGTGAACTACTTTAATGCATGGAATGTTAATAATATATTAATGAACAATTTGAGAGTAGAACACATCAGGTGCCTAATGACTGAAGTCGACATAAAGACTATGGAGGCACAAATAGGGCAAATTGTTTAGTTAAAACTAATTGGTGACAGAATTTCTTACTGACACCACGCAGAGGTCTCGTGTGGCTCAAAAGTATATGAGTACGGAAGTCTATCGCATCATAAAGCATCTGTGGTTTTACTGAAACTAATCAAACTGCTGCACACAGATGCCGTAGGTTTGTATGCATGTGCAACAATGTTAGATGTTAGAGGTTTTTATGCTTCACCAGTTACATGTTTCTTTCATTGAGTCATGCCCATCCTGACTTTGTGGCAATACAAGAAAAGCGCATGACAAGGGACGGCTAATCCTGCAATCAAAAGGGCAAACGAGGGGACACTTTACAAGACACACTGCCTCGTGTTTTCACAGCCAGACTAATTGCACCTCGAGTCGCTGGAAGTGCACTGATTTAGCACTCAGAGCATATTAAAATGAATAAACACAATTAGCTGTAAGTGCAACAGCGCCTCTGCACAGCGCACATTTCTCTCCACGACGACAGTCACTTCAGAACGGCTGTTATTAACTGTGTTGTTGCGTCAAGTGCGATGTGACTAATTGCAAAAAGCACTTGATGGCACCGAAAATGCTTCTAATTTGAATTTGAATAACACGAACAGGGCACTAGGTGGTACAACAAAATTGGGTAACCCGTGAAATTGTAATCCTAGAAATTGAACAAAGAATATGGCAGAAACGTTTGCTGATTAATGTTTTACCGTCATTGTAACCGTTTCCATTTCGTAACCCAACCGTGGGGAGAATTCCACTGGAAAATGGACGCAGTGCTTAAAGAGATATAAGTTATGAATCATTGTTACATAGAAAAATACACATACATATTTATAGCACGTTTTGTTTGTGTCTGTGTGTGTCTAATTTTGACCATTGAAAGTGTGTTACTGGCGGCGGTAGGTTCCCGTCTCAGTGCGGCATCTGGAAAATGTCTGTTGATAAAAGGCTTTAAACGTATCAAGAGCTCTGCTTGCTTTGCCTCTATAAAAATCCTAATAGCTCGAGTTGGTCATAAAAAAAGCCCCTTGATGTTAAGAACAAAAACAACATAAAACAGTGAAAGAGATACCACTTCTGAACCTTCCTGAAGTAAAATACATTAGATTGGAAGTCAAGTAAGTCTGTGAGGCCTGTAGCTCTGAAAATCGCTCTCTATTTTACCCTTTGATTCCACTTTATATGAGCGAGAGAGAGAGAGAGAGAAAACGCCCTGTCAACTTCGAGTAAATGAAAGAAAACAGCCCTGAAAGTGAAACTTTCAAAAGAAATGACTTTCGAAACCCCTGAAGTGGACACTTCTCCAAGACTTGGGGGAACTAAGCATAGTACCCGGGGCACAATTCAATTAGCTTGTCTTCCAAGTGTTGGGAAAGAAGCTCCGGGGAGAAATCAAAAGTTGTGTCCAAATAAAAGGGGTTTTCATGGATGTAATGTTCCCCCTTCTGCACCACTTCCTCGCTATTCATTCCCACTGCTTTTGCGAGGTGCCGCTCACAAATGCACCGGTCAGCAATTTCTGCAGGCAAAAATAAAATAAATGAAGGAGTGAAATTAAATACAACGGCACCTTGAAGATGCAGCTGTGACCGACATGCCAGTCACGCTCAGCCTGGCAGCTCATCCGTGGTATTTTCTTTGCCTTTTTTCCTTCTTGCCCAGTTATTTGACAGTGATCGGGTTTGATAAATTGTTCAATTAAAGCCACATTAAGAACGCAGGGCCCACTTGACGCACAGCCTCTCGGGTGTACGTGTTGTCCGATTACTCTAAAGGACAAGAATCCTTCTTGCTGCTGACAATCAACGTGTGACTCTCATCACAAGACAAATGGGTTTATTTATGAAACCCGGCGGGCTGATTAAATACTGTAGTGCCCAACTGATGATTTGAAGCCATAAAAATCGGTTTAAAAAAAACGTGATTTCCAAATTTCTTAGATTCTTCAAGGTAGCCTGCGTTTGGTAATTGTTTTAAGTTTGCCAAGATGAACAAAAAAAACTGTTAAATGTGGTAGTGAATTTCTCGTCTTTCACGATTTTCCAGCTCTGCTATTTTTTCTTTCTATTGACATCAAGAGAAAAAAAAAACAACACTGTTTGGCTTGTCTGTTCAGAAAGCCGCAGTAAAAGAATTACATTGAGATTCTGTTTTTGGCGTGCAGTTGCTGTCGGGGTGGAAGGGTGAAGAGAGAGAGGGGGGTGGGGGGAGTATATGTTGCCCAGGGAAGGTTTAGCCTTAAATGTTCTGATATAAAATGTAAGATCCATTGCAATTTGGAATTGGACTCACATGAATTACTGCAGCCTGCAGCAAAGAATAAAATTCATCTTAACTTTCCACCACATTCAGACAAAAGATACTCCAAATGGCGACCGATTACCCATAAGACAAAAGAAGTAGTGGTGGTGAAAAACTAAAAGGATATTGATTCTGCAAACATCAGGGGAATGTCTACAAAAAAGTTTTTTTGTTAAACAGTGATAACCAAACAAATCCAATCTATCACAATTAACTCCACATAGACACTCAATACAGGCACACACACACACACACACACTTCTACAGCGTTAATAAAAAACAGGGGACCATTGATGGATATCTTCAGGCAATGGGATTTAAGTTCCTCTCCCGTTTTTCTAAAATAACACCCCCCCCCCCTCCCTCTGAGAAACGAGTGATGGTCATTTACCTGCATCGCATCAACAGAATTCAAACACTAAGTGTCTGGAAGATGTTTACCTCACTGTTTTCAAATGCAAATCAATGGGAGTAGTTTTCTCAAAATACCCCGAGAACGCAGAGGCTCCCTGCTTTGATTTAAACACGCGTGCTTGGGGGGGCTTAGGGAGGGAGGGGGGGGGGGGGGGTCTTGAATGCAAGAAAGTGAGCGGACCTCTAAATCACCGACTCTACAGACAACGCAAAGAAACCACGTTTACAAACCAAGCTCGGGTGTACAAGCTTCCCTCTAAAACACGTCCAGCTCCAGAGCAGACAGCAGTAACACCTTCTCCTTCTTCTTACCCCCCCCCTATTGGCCCCCCATTGCCCCCCCGAGCCCCGCGGACTGGGCTCCACTGGCAAAAGGCTGGGGGGGTTGACGCGTTGTCTCCAAACACGTTTGTTTGCCGTGGTTTATAAATAAACGCTTTCTAAACTCACGTCACATCAAAAGTTAAGAAGCAGTCGGTGAAAAGTTGCGAGCACTTACTTAGAAAGTATTTCAGGGACAAACCCCGCTTTTAAATCCGTGTCCGCTGTTGGATGAGCGGTCGTATTCCTCCAGAAAGAAAAAGAAAAAACAGTTACTTTCGCATCCAAGGAGGGTGAAGAAAAACCAAAAGCTTTTATTTAAGTTTCCTCAGCAGCCGGAGCAGTCACTTGTTAACGAGGGGGGTGCGAGTATGAAACACAATATTCCCCGTCTGTTCGTATTCCGAATCTCCTGAGTGAAAGAAGAAATAAAAAACCCTATAATAATCCGTGCGCGACACCGCCGCGCGCGGCTCTCTCCGAATGCGTGTCCCCTTTACTGGTGCCGAGCGTTATCTGCGCGTCCCAGGTTCCAGGTCCCTTTCTTCCCAAAGCCGACTCGTACGGACTGGGGGGGGGGTGTTGGGGAGACAGGAGTCAAACGCGCCCCCCGGTCTTCACCCTCCCTTCTTTTGCAGCGAGAGAGAAAAAACACGCGAAACGTTGTGCTGCGTTCAAAGACGCCTCATAGACTTCGTCTCTTGGCTTCCCCCTGTATCGTAAATCCTGCCGCTCGGTGCGTTCAAGTACGTTTAGTCGGGAATCATGACTCAACGGGGCATGTGCAGAAAAGAGGCTGATCTTTTTATCTTCATAAATAGGGGTTTGCCACGAAGAGGAGACAAATATGCAGTGAAAAGTAAAGGTCTGAGAAGAAAAATACGTTTTTTCAGTTTCTTTTCGTGATTTTTTAAATGCTTCTTAAGATTTTTCTGGTCAACACACTGAAGCTACTTAGAATATGTAAACCTTTTTTCATGAACGTTATGACGAACTATTGGCTTTGTATGACGTTTTGTTTTGGGGCGTGAAAACACTACTTAATAACTACAGTGAGTTAAATTGATGCAATGTTCATCAATCAGGCACAGGATAAGTTAAAAAAGCATATTTACATATGTTTGCAGGTATGTCCTTAAGCACTAAGCAGAGGAATGCAAAAGGCAAAAATGTGAAATTTTATGAAGAAAGTAAATCCATCTAGTTCCATCATATTTAAACTTGACACATATTAGCCTCAAATGATATACAGTCTCTGAACCATAAGCAAATATTCTGTGACATTATCACAATTAAGAAAAGTTACTTTAAACTTTTTAATGAATATTTATTGCTATCACCAGCCACTCTACCATGTTATGTCCTGAATGCCCTTGTTTCCATTTACATTTGAAAGCAAATCAAATTAGTATGAATTCTTTTAATTTCAATGATAATATATTCATATTGTTCGGTATTAATGTCTAATTTTCGATTACATTTTGAGTTATGATGAAACAAACATAACCTACACTAACAATAAAGATTGATATTGTAATCACACAGATGGAAAATAAAACAACATTTGGTTCATTCTACTCCTCTCAGTCTGTTGGATGTGGACCTGCTTCCATCACATTGGCTTTGAACTGGAGAAGCAACTCTCATTGGCTGGTAGGATTTGAATTTGAATAGTGACAATGATGCCCGTTGTCCAGTAGGGAGACAAAGCTCAAGAGACACATCAGTCCCTTGACCCACATTGGCTCTGCTGAAATGTTTGTCAAATGTAAATGTACATCTGACTACATTGGATACAAAGGTTTTAGAAGCATTAGTGTTATGTACTTTATGTGATTTAAATTATTAGTAGTATTTTTTAGACCCTTTACATCAATTTCAATTTCATTTGACTGTTTCTTAATGTCCCACGGTAGTGGAACTGGCTGTTTGATTTGGGGTAACTCCTAGCCCCAAAAGGCCGGTTGCTGGCTACGTCACCTTTCAGGAGCATTAAGGACCACGATGTATGACGGGAAATTGTAGAAAATAAATTGAAATAGGACGGGGCTACATTTTGTAGAGTAGCAATACATTTTGTGTGAACTTTTCAAGCTATGAAGGAAGTAATGGACGAGAACAGGCCCTTTTAAAAAGACCCATCTTGGCTGTGTGTTGGCAGACAGCCATTCGGAGCCACAGGCTCAGAGTCCACTGCCCTCTTTTCTGCCTCTTTGTTTAAAACCCAGCGTGACATGTAACACACCATGAAGGCGTTGGAGAGGGGTGCGAAGGGCAGTTGTGGGTGGGAGGCGGAGGGTGGAGGGAGAGGGGGGGGGGGGGGGGGTATGGGTGGTCTAATCAATTTAAATGGCAAATAAAAATCATGTGTTTGTGTTACGTGCATTTTTCCCCTTGGCTTCTTATTCACACTGCGGCCCCTTTATTTAATCAGCTCGGTAAATCTTAGTGGCAACCCAGAGCTCTCACCGCCATTCCCCCGGTGGTGCGAGCCTTAACATGGTAAATTTCACTCGGGTAGGGAAATGCGCTCAATGGCCGAGGCCAGTGCTTTAGGAGGATAAAAAGAGCACTTACCGCCTGACATGTGCAATCCATAACAGAATAATGAGACTCCTCGTCCGCTGCCTCTCCCTCTCCACTTTTTTTGTTTTCCTTGCGAGTGTTCGCAAATGCCATGTAAATCCAGAGAGCGGAAGATGTGGCGAGCGCTCGAGGGAAAGCGCTTCATCGCTCCTGTTACCGAATCGTGTAACAGCATGTAGAATGCGAGGATTCACCAAACGTCCAGCGAACCTTGTTGAAACTACTGGCCTCCTTCTGTCAGCTGTTATGTCTACAAGTGAATGTGATCCACACCACGATGTCTGCTAGTCGCTGTTCTCAAACAGAAGACACTGGAATACCAGGAAAAAAAGCTTCTTGAGTTATACAGATGAACCTCGTCGTTAGGTATGCGTTATTTTAAAGGACTCTGTTGCATGTATAATCGCTTCTATGAGCAGAAGTGCCAAATGCAAACGGCAACAAAAGAATGTGTGAACAGGAAAATGTAGCTTGTCTGAATCTAAATGCATTATGTCTTGCCACTTGTACTGTTTTTAACTCCATGTGAGACTATATAAAAAAAGAAAAAAAGAAAACTCCTTATTGTCTCCCTACCCCTCTCCGTTCATCTGTCACCCCAAGGGGTTGAGGCACAATCACCTCCGATAGCAGCGGGCCATCGCTCACCCTGTCCCTCCAGGCGACAGCCCACTTACTGCCAGCTCACGCGCAAATGGAGGACATTTCATCACCCCCACCAAAAACACAATTAAAAAACACGCACGCGGCAGTCGACGGCCCTCCGAGGCCCCCCCCCCCATCCCCAGTCTCGACTCCAGTTACTCCGGGGCCTCCTTCCGCTCCTCACATATTTACTCTCCTCGTGTATTGCGGGTGTGTCAGCGCAAGTACGAAAGTAACGTGTGGTGTTTCAATAGTGAGCGAGACACTGGGGGAAAAAAGTGAACCGGCGCTGAGTGCTTATCCGCCTCAGGTGGAGGAACGGTGAGGAACGTCCACCTATGGCGGGCGTGTAGCCTCAACGGTAAAGCCGATAAGTGACTGCGCTCCTGGCTACAATTCTGTTCTCCCTGGAAGCCAAAATGGAGGACGGTATGCTGGGGTTTGTGTTGATGGGTGATGTGTCTAACACACACATGCTGCACACACCCAAATACGCACACACACACACACACACACACACACACACACACACACACACACACAAACATCATAGCAGGAAAACAGGCAGACTGACGGCTATTAGAGTGCAGTGAGGCTCCCTCTTATCTCCCAACATGATAGAGATCTACAAAGAGCTTGAGAGCAATTATGAATTTGTTACCTTGATACACGTGTGAGCGCGGCAATAGACAGGAGTTTGAGAATGGTGACTGAGCTCGGTTGGTGTAGCAAAAGGGGACGGGAACGTAAGGAATTACATGCTGTTGGGTAACAAATACATCTGACAGCTCTCTCTGCATTTTCGGCAGCTTGAGGAAGGCGCCTCTGCGGTGGATTTCTCTGTGACACACACGCATGTGTTTTATGCAGTAAGTGCAAGTTTCAAACCGTACCTTTTAAAAGGCCCCTTTCAGTCTGTCACTTTTAATTTGCAGCGGTTCAAACATTCTCAGAAAGTGCTCCATGATCACTGTTCTTTTTTAAAAATATGTCTCTTATTCATTTATTTTTCCTCATTGATAAAAAAACATTGCAGGAACTGTGACTGGTGTTTTTCTTTTTTTTTTTTACTGATATTTTGGCTCTGCTTCTTACTTGGTGTTCTAAATTGTTCATTTTTCATGGAAATGTGTGTCCTGGTGGCATCTATACTGCTATCAAATGCATCCTGACATAATTATACTCCCACATAGCAAGTCTAACAATGGCCTTTGTCTTGAAGACTTCAGATAAATACCTGAATTATAGGGTGTAGTTTAGTTCATCGCATTATAGTCTCTACAACCCTTTTTGTGGATTTTTATGTTACCAGACACTTACTTACTCCTGACTCCTTCGTATTTGGATTCTCCTGCCTTTCTTTTAACCGGCTCACTCTTAATAAGGCTTTCTCTATTTAAGCTCTCTTGAACTCAACTGACATTTGGAGGCAGGTGGAAGAGTGCAGCTAAATAAACCAAATAATTACAGTAGAAATAGCAAAGAAAGAGGGGAAAGACGCAAAAAGCCAGGTTGCATAGTTGTTATCTTGTGAATACTGTTAAGCAGATGTTGTTTTATATTTTGGTCAATGCAGCAGTGTGTTTTCACTTTCCAGGTTGGCATTACTGGACTGAGCAGACAGTTAATTTAACTGTGAACCTTGTAAACTACTGAAGGTTTCATATGTTCTCTGCTGCTGTGTACCATGTGTGATGCTGGACCAGTATTTGCAGAGTATAGTTCTTTGGGAGTGCATTTATGTATTACCATGTTATTACAAGTTGTGTACGCGTAGCGTTCGGTGAATATGTCTTTTGTAAATATGTAGGCTTCGGAGTGAATTGAATGTGCTGTGTGTGCAAATGTCTCCTTCCCGTGTGTAGATTCGTGCATGTACGCCTTTCAATGTATGCCATTGTATACAGTGCATTTCAGTGCCTTTAACACTTTCAGGTCCCTGCGTGCGTGGTTGCCATGTGCGGATGTAAGTGTGCCTCGAAGCGAAGCGTTTGTGCACATGGCGAGAGTGCGTGTGCATTTCTGTACAGCAAAGAGGGCCACAGAGTGATGAGTGATGCCAGAGGTGGTTTTCCTACGAACCCCTCCGCTGGCTTGCCGGCTCACTAATGGCCTCCTCAGCGGGTCAGCGGCTGACCGACTTGCTGGCTCTCAGTGTCACCGTCTTACCTTATTTGGTAGCCAAGGGGTGGGGGATGGTGGCGATGGGGGTTGGTGGACGGGCGGGTAGCGGCGCTCTGTTTACACGCAAGTTCAGAAGGTCAGAGCGCCAGAGCGTCATGGAGCAAACACAGATCACTTAAAGACAGTAAGAGAGCCCACGAGTCATTGCTTTACGGCCTGCAGCTGGATGGATTGGGTGAGCTTTGCCGTGAAAGACTGTGATGGAGTGTGTTCGTGCACGTCAGTCTGTGTGTGTGTGTGTGTGT